GGGCCTGACTTCGTTCTGATGACGTATGTAGTCAGAATGTAGTCGGGGTGTAATCAGATGTAGTCGGGTCTTTTTTGGGATGGAGGGTCCAAGTCAATTTTCGAAAAACGGTGTACTTCCTGTGGAGCACAAATATTTACATATGTTAATACATATATATATAATGTATATAGACTCAGACATCTTCCTGTGACAGATTCTTCCTGTGGAGGCGGTGCGTCCGCTGTAGGTCTTGCTGTCTTGTTGGGCGGTGTCTCCGCTGTAGGTTCAATTCGGCGGTATACCTCCGCTGTAGGATTGTTGGCGGTTCCTCCGCTGTAGGATTGCTTGTGGCATATGTAGCAACCAATACTTCAGTCTTGGCATGTGGTATAGAGCGTTCATTCAATAGCAGAAGGTTGAAGACGTGGCGGTGTGCCCGCTGTATACTATAGAAAACAAAGGTTTTCTGACGCCATTCCAAAAATGCGCAAAAATATAGGTTTTTTGAAAATGATACAAAATTATTGAGACAAAAACCTAGAAAAACTTGAAAAACGTGAAAATCAAAAAAAACTTGCAAAAACAAACTTTTCCAAAAACGCTTGTCAAACTTACACTAACTTATAAGTCAACTTATAAATCAGCTTAAATCTCACGAGATAAGTTCACGGTAAGTAGAATATGTATGATTTGTAAACAAAACAACATGAGCTAAGTTAACCCGTCCTTGTGGTTGGTCCACATAGATGGCCTCGGGCGTCACTCGAACATGGCGACCGGCATACTCGGCCTCGTCCTCTTCCCATTTGCCGAAGTGGAACCGGCTGGTGAGTTGCTTCTTCAGCCACTCATAGCGGTCGGGAGCAGCGCACACGATGAAGTCATCCACCTCTATTAGCACTTGTGCGATACACTCCTTCTTGTCAGAGAACAGGGTGTACCAGCAGGGCTCGACTAGGTTCCTCTCGAATGACAGGGAGGTAAGGAAGCGAGTCACCGTCAGACGCCATTCGCGAGGCGCATCATCCAAGCCAGAGGTGGGCACCAGGATCTCGATGAGTGCTCCTGCTGGTAGATGGAGTCCTTCACAAGGCTCGGCATACAGAGGTCCTCGAGGACGATTGAGCTTGTCGCTTTGGCAGAAAGCATTCTTGACATCTGAGAAGGCGAACTTCATACCAAAGTTGAGACCGGTCTGGAGGAAGGTCATCAGTCCCTCCGTTGATGGTGTGGGACTGTAGGTGCATAGTGTGCCAGTGTCAGGATCATGGTGTCCATGAATGCACCATCGGCTTTTGCCTTTCCAAGCGTTGAGCTCCGGCTGCGGTTTCTTTCTCCGAACCATCCGAGATGAAATGATCCGGTCAGGCCAATCTTCTCGGGCCTTTGATGCTGTCTTCCCAATGATCACCTTCACAGCGCCGGTGCCCAGCACGGCTGACCACTCCACCTCGTCGGACTTCTCGATCTCCTCCTGGGTCATCTCCTTCAATGAGATCTCGCCACCTCTCTCCTATAGGCATCTGCACCCATTCTCCTGAATGCTCCAGGCACAGGACGGACTCTTCCTGGTTGAACTGGAACCACTGCTCGCGCCATAGATCCGGATCATCACGTCGATCTTGATCACGGCGTTGTGCCAGCCGATTGAACTCCTCTACCTGGGTAGGAACTCTGTTTTGCTGAGGGAGCGACTCGACAGGAGTAAGATGGGTTGGCTCTGGCGCTTCAACAAGTCCACGTGGAGGAGACACGGCACGAGGAATCCTTCTCATCAGATCTGCTATAGGTGTTCCAGGAGCCCGAGTTCCCGACTGAGGATCAGCACCCGTTGTGGCTGCAGGGGCTTGAGAAGAAGAAGAGAGGTCCCCTTCCATGGGATGTTCTGGTGATGTTGTCCTCACCATCTTCAGCGGAGGCTCAGTCGGCACACTTGAGTGGTCTGATGGGGCCGAAGGATCTGGCCCCGGTTCAGGAGGATGCTCACTTGGCTCTGATGCAGGTTCATTCACTGAGCTTCTTCTGAACTGTTGAGGTAGTCCGTCAGCAGCGGGACCAGCAGGTCGTTGCTCCTCTTCCTCAGCGATGCTGGCCAGTCGGTCTTCTCGAGGATGACCAAGAGGTAGAAGACCTGGCGGAACAGATTCAATAGGCGGCACGGGACGGTCAGGTGGCCTCGGTCGATCTGCTTCGGAGAGAGGGCGAGAACCGGGCGCCACGGCAACTCCATCTTCAGTGCGCTGAACTGGACCCAGCATGTTCTCGGGTCCAGGGAGTCCCTCACGTTGTACATCCACGGCTCCTGCATGAGTGCCGGAGATCACCTGCCGTAGGAGTTCGCTCAGCCCCGGGCTGGTGGCCAGTTCTCGACCCAACACCTCACTTGGAAGAGCCGCCCGAAGTTGGCCAGGAGAACATCGCCATAGCCTGGTCCTCATGCCGACGTAGACCGTGTCGTTGTTTGACACCACCACCACGCCAGGTCCGACCCAGCGATCTCGGAGATGGAGGTCTTGGTTGCCTCGGGCTCGACGAAAGACATATACCCATTGACCTGGAGCCCAATGCCGCTGCTGTTGAGCTGCATGCCGAGAGCGGCGAATAGCTTCCCGGCTGGACTGCGTCATGGCCAGTTGTCGAGCTCGTTCACGAATCTGATGCCTCCTCCGATACTCACCAGCGGCCTCATCGACCTCAGCTGGGTCTTCATGAGCATCATGCAGGCCATGTAGTCCAAGCTCATCTTCAGCCAAAAGCTCACCGGGTATCCTTGGGAGTTCTCCAAAGACAAGTTGTGCCGGCGTGAAGCCTCCCTTGTTCAGCCATCTGTTCTTGGTGGAAAGTTACATTGGTGGCATGTGGATCCAAATTGGTGGCATTTGAATC